CTTATCTCCATGATCTTTTTGATCTCTTTGAGTTCTAAAACTGTAATGTGATTTTGTGAAAGAATTTGATCTCTTTTTTGTATTTCCAGTATAATTTCCACATATGCTTTCAAAATTTTCCTTATGTAATTTGATGGGTGGAAATCACGAATCAATGGTAGGAGTACTGAACAGTGTCTTCTCTGTACCATTACAAATGCCATATAATTCCTACCATGGATTTAGGAAATTGCAAAGGTCACAGGTTAATTGCAATAAAGGTGGCTGTCAGTGTTCCCCTGTCATTGCTTTGGTCACCACCTGTTACTTTAAGAATAGGTCACTTGTGGTTCTTTCTCTGGACCCTTACAATTTCATGGCAGTGAGAAAAAGAGAAGGCAGGTAGATTACAGATCCTGAACATGAAATCACAGAAACATCACCTGTGGAAAACAACATACACGAATTAGGGAAGCCATGAGAGTATAACAAAACAATAACTGAAAAGGAGTTGCTTTTTATATTATTTTAGTTATTATAAGTCACTGAGAAGGAATGTTTACATTTTATCTGCTTTTAAAATTAATATTCAGTTTGCCTCCTTCCAACCTGCTGTAGGAGTTGTACTTTTGGTTATAAGAAGAACAAACTCCGTCTAGGTTTAAGCAAAAAGCAAATCTACTGAAAGTACACTAGGGTATCTCATGAACTCCAAGTAAAAGTCAAGAATGGGGAAGGACCAGATCAACTCCAGTGACCTCAGCAGTGGGACTTTATTGACCTTCTTATCACAAAATTTTCTTTATCTGCCTTTACCTCCTGTGACTTCCAGTCTGTATCTTCCTCCCACCCCTTTTAATTCCTAGGAGAGAGCATCCTTTGGACACAATTTAGGTCAAATATCCTCCTCAGGTACAATTAACTATGACAAAAAACATTTGTTTTAAGACTAACGTATTACAAACATGGCCACCAGGGGCCCAGCCTTATAGAAGACAGACGAGTTCCAGAGAAGGGGCAAATGTGGGACTCTAGGAAGCCACCTCAAGAGATGTCTGCCTAAGTATGTTGTACATACTCTTTTTCTATTTTTTTTTTGTTTTTTTGTTTTTTGTTTTACCATTCTTCCCTCTCTCCCAAAACCCTTCTCCCCACCATTACCAGTATCTATATATCATTGCATAAAATTGTTCCTAGAATGGGCTCCAAATATCCTGCTAAATGTATATATTTTATATAAAATTAAAATAAAGGACATAAAAATGGTCTACTGTCACTCTAAAAATTAAAATGTATACAATGCCATTTGATTGTGTACACTATATAGAGTCATCCAAAATTAACTAAAATATTCCATAGAGACGAGCCATTACATATGTTCTGTCAAAATGTAACTTTCACTCTGACAACCACAGGTCATTCTTTCTTGATTATTAAAGTCGTTCAGGAGCCCAAAATAAACCCATAAATACACAGTCAATTAATTTATGACAAAGAAACCAAGAATATAAGATGGGGAAAGGATAGTCTCTTCAATAAATGGTGTTGGAAAAACTGGACAGCCACATGTACAAGAATAAAACTAGACTACTATCTTTACACCACACACAAAAATTAACTCAAAACGGATTACAGACTTGAATGTAAAACCTGAAACCATAAAACTCCTCAAAGAAAACAAAGGTGGTAAGCTCCCTGACCTGGGTCTTGGCAATGGTTTTTTTTTTGGATCCAGCCTCAAAAGCAAAGGCAACAAAAGCAAGAATAAACAAGTGGGACTATATCAAGCTAAAAACCTTCTAAAGAGCAAAGGGAATTATCAATAAAATGAAAGGCAACCTACTGAATGGGAGAAAATATTTGTAAATCATGTGGGATCTGATAAGGGGTTAATATCCAAAATATATAAAGAACTCATACAATTCAATAACAACAAAAAAAATCCAATTAAAAATCGGGCAGAGGATCTAAATAGACATTTTCCAAAGAAGATATATGGATGGCCAATAGGCATATGCAAAAATATTCAACTGTCAATAATCCTCAGAGAAATGCAAATCAAAACCACAATGAGTGCAGGGGGTTGGGGAGATGGGTTAAATAGTAATGGGGATTAAGGAGTACACTTGTGATGAGCACCAGGTGTTACATGGAAGTGTTGAATCACTGTATTGTATAACTGAAACTAATATTACACTACATGTTAACTAACAGGAATTTAAATAAAAACTTAAAATTTTTCTAAAAAATTTTAAAAAACCCACAATGAGATATCACCCACCTCACACTTGTCAGAATGGCTATTATCAAAAAGACAAGAAATAGGGACGCCTGGCTGGCTCAGTCAATACAGCATGCAACTCTTGATCTTGTGGTTGTGAGTTCGAGCCACACATTGGGTATAGAGATTACTTAAAAAAAATAAATTAAATTAAACTAACTCATTCATCATTAAAAAAAAAAGATAAGAAATAACAAGTGATGGGGCGCCTGGGTGGCTCAGTCGTTAAGCATCTGCCTTCAGCTCAGGTCATGATCCCAGGGTCCTGGGATCGAGCCCCGCATCAGGCTCCCTGCTTCGCGGGAAGCCTGCTTCTCCCTCTCCCACTCCCCCTGCTTGTGTTCCCTCTCTTGCTGTGTCTCTCTCTGTCAAATAAATAAATAAAATCTTTAAAAAAAAAAAAAAGAAATAACAAGTGTTGGCGAGGATGTGGAGAAAAGCGAACTTTCAGGCACTGTTGGTGGGAATGTAAATTGGTGCAGCCACTGTGGAAAACAGTATGGAGGTTCCTAGAAAAATTAAAAATAGAATTACCATATAATCCAAAAATTCCACTTCTGGGTATTTATCCAAAGAAAACAAAAACACTAATTCAAAAAGATATATGTACTCCCATGTTCACTGCACCATTATTTACAATAGCCAAGATTTGGAAACAACCTAAATGTCTATCAGTAGATGAATGGATAAAGATGTGTATATATACATATACATATATACACACACACACACCAGAATACTACACAGTCATAAAAAAGAATGAAATCTTGTCACTTGTGAAAACATGGATGGACCTAGAAGGCATTATGCTAAGTGAAATAAGTCACAGAAAGACAAATATCGTATGATTTCACTTATATATGGAATTTTAAAAAACAAAAACAAAACAAGCTCATTGATACAGAGAACAGGTTGGTGGTTGCCAGAGTGGAGGTGAGCAAAATGAATAAAGGGGTCAAAAGGTACAAACTTCTAGTTATAAAATATGTAAGTTATGAGGATATAATGTATAGCATGGCAACTACAGTTAATAATACTGTATTGATTGAATATCTAAAAATTGCTAAGAAAGTAAATCTTACAGTCCTCATCACATGAAAAAACTTCTGGGACTATGTATGGTGACAGATGTTAACTAGATTTATCGTGGTGAGCATTTTCTCAATATATACAAATGTCAAATAATTATGTTTCACACTTAAAGCTAATGTAATGTAATGTGTAAATTATACCTCAACTTTAAAAACTCTTTTATTTAAAAAAAAAGATGTTCAGTTCATTTTCTGTAAGTAAAATCTAGACATTTATCGATACCAAGTAGTCTGCAAGATAAAGAATATATATAGTATCTATACCCTGTATGCTCCTTTCAATAGTTTGTGAAGGAAGTTCTTCTTGGACAATTTCAACTTTTCTAAATCCTTCCTCCTCCTAACTGTGGTATTTGTACACTTCTGTCTCTTGACAGTTTGATTTGCCTTGCCTTCCTTGATATTGGACTATCATGTTTTCCTCATTATAAGTATCTTTTGCTACCACCTGCAGCCCTGTCCACAAGTGAAGGAAATACTCCAAGGCTCATTTTTTTCTCTTTTCTCTCTATATCCTTATTCACTTACAGAACTCATGGATATAACTGCCACTTCAAGACCAAGATTGCCAACTCTTAACTGAAAACTACCTCATGTTTTAGTCTACTGTTTCCACAAAATTCTCTTTTTATGTCTCACCCACACAAGAAGGGCAATATCATCAACCAAAACCATTATTATGCCACAAACCAGATTATCTTCCTATGCTCATTTTGAAATTACAACTATCAATTTTTCCCAGTCTTGGGAATGTTCCAAAGCCTTAGATATCATGGGATGATCTTTAAATCAAAATGCACAATTCTAATGATAAACAACCCTGTAAACTGTCTAAATTTTGGTATTTGACTATCAAAAAACAGCTCTCCCGGTAACTTTACAGGTCTTCAGATGTGCAAGTCTAACAAGCCCAATATTGTATCATTTGAGATAAAACTGCTCCCTGGGCTGTAAAAAAAAACAGACAATGCCACTCAGCAATTTCAATTACCTGCCAATGATAGGGCGAATAAGCTTAAGTACAGTGTTCTATCTTCCCACTCTTAGAATCTATTGTCATCCCTTAAAGCGCTAATTCTAGAAAACATCTATAACCTAACAGAACCAGCCCAAGCTAGTGATGACTACAAGTCCCAGGATGCAAAGCAGGAGCCTGGCTGTAGTTCTTCCCCGGAACTGTAACCTTCTGATCACCTGTGCGACAAACTGGGAGTCTTAAACCCCATTTGTCGAAGTTAGTTTATAAAAATAAAGCTAGGGCAGAGAAGGTAGAATTCTTACCACAAAACAAGGTCCAACCCGGCTGCCAAAGAGCCCTGTCCAGACAACTCCAGTCCGCGCCTCTGGGGGTGGGGTGGGGTTATTGAGGGGGGAGAGAAAAGCGCCCTTGCGTGACGTCACTTCCGGGAGAGGCGCCCGGGCTTGGCCCCACCCTCCACCTCGCTAGGATCCTGGGCCGGGTGGCCAGGGTAGAGCCCGGCTGAGGCTGGGAGCCGCTGCTTTGGGGGCGGAAAGTCACGTGAGGCTTCTTGGTGCTGTGGGTGGAGACGAAAAGCTGCGGTTAAGGGGGGTCGGATTTAACCGTCACAGGGAAGTGCGTTCAGACGGAATCGCGGAGAGGAGGGCTGAGGTAGGGACAAGGCAGCGGGCGCTGCCCTGGGCGCTCATGCGAGTGACACCTGCGCCCCCGTGGCTGGCGGGCGGCGGGCGGACTCCACCGGAGGGTGGAGGGACCCCGCGGGAGCCTCCGGGCCATCCTCAGGCCACCGCAGACTCCGCCGAGCGTGTGGGAGGCGCTGGCCTCGCGCCGGGCGGCGGAGGTGGCTCCGTCTTGGGGCTCCTGGGAGCCCCGGGAGCAGTGGGTCTCCCCGTCCACTGAGCCGAAGACCCGTGGACTGCCCTGACACCGACCAGGCGCTCCTAGGGTCGAGCTGCGCCTGGGTTTCTCCACTTTTCTCTCGCCACCCTCTTCTCTCTCCTACCGCGTTGCTCAGGCTCGGGCCACCTCACCTGACCGAGATTTTCCAGTGTAGGACTACGATGTTAGTCCCTGGAGCATCTCCATGCTAAGGCAAAAGTGAAGACGCTATTAATGATCCCAGTACATTTTCTTAAAAGCTTGGGTAGCGCTCACTGCTTTGCACGTCAGTGATCGTATTGATATGCGTCCTCTCTCCCCAGCCCTGGGGCCTCAGGTAGTTGGGTGGCAAGGGCAGGATTATCCCACAGGCCTTGAAAAGGATAAGATTTCAGACTTTTATTTACTTCTTTTGGGGGGAGGCCACCAAGCAGAACCGAGGAGCAGTGAATCAGCAGTTCAAGTTTCTTGAATCTTTGACGATGAGGAAGGTTGCCCAGAGCCACGTGCTGGATTAAAAAATCTTACTTCAGCATCTTTCCAAGTCCGGGCGGCTCTCTTCCTACCTTTCTCACCAGCAGAGTTGCCTAGATGTAGTTAAGATAGGCAGACCCCTTGTTATGTGCCATTTCACAGGTCTGTAGTTATTACAAGTTCTTAGTTTATTATTTAACAATTTAGTGGTAAACCTTTTCTTCATTGTATAACTATGAGATTCTGAGACAAGATAAACCAGTCCTTTTGACAACAGGGATTACTGGGTATGAGTTAGAAGGATTTGTTAAATTCCCTCAGTTTCTGACATAGTAGCATTACTGATGATCTGGAAACTATGAAGAACATTTTAACTTTCAATCATTTCATCTTGTTGGATGCAAGTTTGGGTCTTGATTAATTTAATTTGACCACGTTTTGTTCAAATACATTTGATCCTGGGTTTAATAAACTATTACCTTAAGAACAATTGATATTTACCTTGTAGCATGTAAGCTTGTGGTTCACTGTTACTACTCTGGGTAATTCTTTAGAGTTTCACTAATTAAAAGGAAATGTGAATAATTCTCCTTTTCTTTTCTCTCCTCCTTCCCTCCTTGTACTGTATGTGGAGCTGTCAGGACCATAAGTAGACAATAAAGCTTCAGAAAGGTCTTTACCACTCTTCCTGTTCCCAACTCTAATATATAGATGATATCAGGTTAAAATGAACATTACAGAAATCTATCACATCAGGAAAGAAAGTGAAGATTAAAAAGGATGACATGTAATATGAAGGTCAAGAAAAAGAATGTGGAGTAATTCTGCTCTCTACCTTGCAAATGGGAATCCTTAGAGATGATATCTTGGGATTAAATGAAGAGGTTTGAGGTGTGTTTTCATTCCAAATGAAGTAATGGAGTGTCACAAAATCAAAAGAAATGGATGTGAACATTCTGAGGTTTTTTTGGATAATACTCCAAATTAAAGACTAACCTTTCAATATGTTTTTCTCATTTTTAGATAGTGAATTCCTAAGAAGAAAATAATGGATTTCATATTAGTTGTTCTCTAAGTATTTGGACTCAGCATTGTGCAGGTTTTTTGCAAAGGCCAAAAGAAGATGGCAACTCCTTATGTCCCAGTTCCTATGCCCATAGGGAACTCTGCTTCCAGTTTTGCAACCAACAGAAACCAAAGAAGTTCTTCTTTTGGGAGTATCTCAACAAGCTCAAACTCTTCCAAAGGCCACTTAGAGGACTCAAATATGGGTAATTTTAAACAGACAAGTGTACCCAATCAAATGGATAGTACTTCATCTGTCTGTAGCAGTCCCCTCATTAGGACTAAATTTACAGGTGCAGATTCTTCCATTGAGTATTCTGCTAGACCAAGAGAAAGTGAAGAACAAAATCCTGAAACAGTATATTTGGAAGATAGACCTTCGACACCTACTATACTGGGTTATGAAGTGATGGAAGAAAGAGCTAAATTTACTGTGAGTATTGACTTCTGCTGTACATCAGTAGAAAGTGAAAAATTGACTAACCAGTGTTCTATGTATGAGTTAAATTGTTACCTGTCTTATAATTTCTTGAACATAAAATTCAAGTAGTGTTTACACCTGTAAATTCTGTCATGCTGTAGTAAACTTCATTTTACTTGAATGAATTTTCACAAACCAGACACATTTGTGAAACTAGCACACAGATCAAGAAACAGAACATTACCAGCATCCAAAAAGCAGCCCCCACCATGCTCTGTCAGTCAATACCCACTCTCCTGATAGCCTACATTAATTTTGCCTATTTTTCTACTTTATGCAAATGGAATTACAGAATATGTACTCTTGGGTATGGTCTCTTCAGCATTGTGTTTGTAAGATCCATCCTTAATCTTGCATGTAATTGTAGGTAGCTCATTTTTATTACTGGTAGTATTCCTCTATGTGAATATACTACAATTTATTTATCTATTGTACTGTTGAAGAACATATGGATAACTTCTAGTTTGGGCTCTCACAAATGCTACTGCTATGAACTTTTTAGTACTTATCACTCAACACATTAACACATTTCTGTTTTACATCTGCCTAGGAGTAAAATTGCTAGATCATATGCCTAGCTTTAAAAGATACTGACGAACAATGTGTCAGGGTAGTTGTACTAGTTTATACTCCTTTAAGCAGTGTATGAGCGTTCCAGTCACTCCACACCTGCCCAACATGTGGTATTTTTTCATCTTTTTCACTATTATTTTCTATCCCGGTGGGGAGAGTCATATCACATTGTGGTCTTCATTTGCATTTTTAATGACTAATTAAATTGAAGACTTTTTGAGTCATTGGATATTCTCTTTTGTGAAGTGTCTGTTCAAGACCTTTATTCATTTTTCTTTGCAAGAGTTTTTTCCACTTTGATTTATAATTTTCTATGCATTTTGGACAAATTCTTTGTTAGAGCATACATTGTGACTCTAACATTATCTCTTTGATAATAGTCACAATGTATGATAACCTCTATGGCTTGCCTTTTCACTTAATGATGCATTAGATAAACAAAAATTTATAGTTTTAATATAGTCCAATTTATTAATTTTTTTCTTTTATGGTTAGCACTTTTTAAAATTACTCCCAGCTTACAAAGATGTTGTCCTATGTTTTCTTCTAAAAGCTTTATTGTTGGACCTTTCACATTTAGATCTGTAAACTCACTGGAATTGATTTTTGTCCATGGTGTGAAACAAGGGTCAAGATACTTTTTTTCCCTCCATATGGGATCAAGTAATCAGGCTTTTATTGAAAAAACCACTCCCTCTACATTTGCACTGTTGCCTATGTCATAAATCAGGCAACCATTTAAATATATGGGTTTGTTTCTGTGTTCCGTTTTTCCCTCATTTGCCAATTCCACATTGTCTTTAATTACTAATGCGTTATGAGAGGCCTTGAAACCTGCCAGCTTAAGTAGTCTAGCTTTGTTCTTCAGAATTGTCTTGGCTATCCTTGACTCTTTGTTCTGGGATTGTATTGACTCTATAGACTAAAGAGATCTGACATTTTTACAATACTGAGTCTCTGAATCTAAACCTAATCCATTTACTGAAGTCTTTAACGTCCTTTTGTAGTTTTCAGAGCAGAGGTCTTAGGTTTTTTGGGTTTTTTTAAGTAATCTCTATACCCAATGTGGGGCTTGAACTCATGACCCTGAGATTAAGAGTCACATACTCTACTAACTGAGCCAGCCAGGCACCCCGTAGTTAGATTTATTTCCAAGTATGTATGTTGTTTGATGTTCTTGATACTTTGTTCTGTTTTCATTGCTAGTTTATATATTTTGGTCTTGTGTATCATTGTGTGTTTATGTATCCAGAGACCTTGCTAAATACACTTATAATTGAGATAGTTTGTTCTTCCTCTTGGATTTTCTTGATGTAAAGTTTTTATCTTTAGTTCAACATTTCATGCTGTAAGCCTACAAACAGTATAGAAGGACCTCTGAGAAAACAATTGTTGAAATAATTTTTGTTGTTGTTAGGGAAATGTTTAATTTTTAAAAAGTTTTTTATCTGAGTGTATTTGACACACAATGTTACATTTGTTTCAGGTATACAACATAGTGATTCCCCTTCTCTATACATTATGCTATGCTCACCGTAAGTGTAGCTACCTTTTGTTACCACATAACGCTATTGCGGTATCATTGACTATTTTTGCTCTGCTGTACCTTTTTTCCCTATGACTTATTCATCCATAACTGAAGTCCTGTATCTCCCACTCCCTTCACCCATTTTGCACTTTCCCCTACCCCCTTCCTCTGACAGTCACCAGTTTGTTCTCTGTATTTACAGATCTGATTCTGCATTTTGTTTATTTGTTTTGTTTTTTAGATTCCATATATGAGTAAAATCGTATGGTATTTGTCTTTCTCACTCTGACTTACTTCACTTACATTATACCCTCTAGGTTTATCCATGTTGTTGCAAATGGCAAGAGCTCATCCTATTTTGTGGCTGCATGATACTCCAGTGTGTGTGTGTGTGTGTGTGTGTGTGTGTGTGTACACACACCACATTTTCTTTATCCATTCATCTATCAGTGGACACTTAGGTTGCTTCCATATCTTGGCTATTCTAATAACGCTGTAGGAAATGTAGGGGTGCAAATACCTTTTTGAATTAGTGTTCTCATTTTCTTTGGGTAAATACCCAGAAGTGGAATGACTGGATCATATGGTAATTCTATTTTTTATTTTTTTTTTTATTTTTTTTTTTTCTATTTTTAATTTTTTGAGGAAACTTCATACTGTTTTCCTCAGTGGATGCATCAATTTACATTCCCACCAACAGTGTATAGGGTTGCTTTTTCTCCACATCTTTGGTAACACTTGTTATTCCTTATCTTTTTTTATTTTAGCCACTCTGACAGATATAAGGTGATATCTCATTCTGGTTTTGATTTGCATCTCCCTGATGATTAGTGATGTTGAGCATCTTTTCTTTTGTCTGTTGGCCATCTGTATGTCTTCTTTGGAAAAATATCTGTTCAGGTCTTCTGTCCATTTTTAATTGGATTATTTGTGGATTTTCTTGGTGTGGAGTTGTATAAGCTCTTTATATATTTTGGATATTAACCCCTTATCAGATACATCATTCGCAAATATCTTCTCCCATTCAGTAGGTTGTTTTTTAGGTTTTTTTTTTCATGGTTTCCTTTGCTTTGCAAAAGCTTCTTATTTTTATGTAGTCCCAGTAGTTTGTTTTAGCTTTTATTTCCCTTGCCTCAGGAGACATATCTGGAAAAATGTTGCTAAGGCTGATGTCAGAAAAATTACTGCATGTGTTCTCTTTTTTTATGGGTTCAGGTCTCACATTTAGGTCTTTAATCCGTTTTGAGTTTATTTTTGTGTAAGGTCTTAGAAAGTGATACAGTTTCATTCTTTGACATGTTGCTGTCCAGTTTTCCAAGCATCATTTATTGAAGAGACTATCTTTTTCCCATTGTATATTCTTGCCTCCTTTGTCATAGATTAATTGACTGTATAAGCATGGGTTTATTTCTGGGCTCTCTATTCTGTTCTATTGGTTTATATGTCTATTTTTGTGCCAGTACCGTTTGTTTTGATTAGTACAGCTTTGTAGTATATCTTGAAATCTGGAATTGTGATACCTCCAGTTTTGTTCTTTCTCAAGAGTGCTTTGACCATGCAGAGTCTTTTGTGATTCCAAACAAATTTTAGGATTATTTGGTCTAGTTCTGTGGAAAATGCTATTCGTATTTTGATAGGGATTGCACTGAATCTGTAGATAGCTTTAGGTAGTATGGACATTTTAACACCATTAATTCTTTCAATCCATGAGCATGGAATATCTTTCCATTTATTTGTGTTATCTTTCACCAGTGTTTTATAGTTTTCAAAATTCAAGTCTTTCACTTCTTAAGTTTATTCCTAGGTATTTTATTCTGTTTGGCACAATTGTAAATAGAATTGTTTTCTTAATTTCTCTTTCTGCTACTTTGTTATTAGTATATAGAAACATAACCAAAAATAAAAATAAAAACCAGGCAATTTCTGTGTATTAATTTTGTATCCTGCAACTTTACAGGATTTATTACTTCTAGTAGTTTTTTGGTGGAATCTTTAAGGTTTTCTGCATACTGTATCATGTCATCTGCAAATAGTGACAATTTAACTTCTTCCTTACCATTGTTTCTTTTTCTTGTCTGATGGCTGTGGCTAGCACTTCTAGTACTTTGTTGAATTAAAGTGACAAGAGTGGACATTCTTGTCTTGTTCCTGATCTTAGAGGAAAAGCTCTGTTTTTCACCATTGAGTATGATGTTAGCTCTGGGTTTTTCAGATATGGCCTTTATTAGGTTCAGGCATGTTTTTTCTAAACCTATCCTGTTGAGAATTTTTATTGTGAATAGATGCTGAATTTTGTCAGATGCTTTTTCTGCATCTATTGAAGTGATCATATGATTTTTATCCTTCATGATGTTGATGTGCTATATCACATTGATTTGCAAATGTTGAACCATTCTTGCATCCCCAGAATAAATCTCACTTGATTATAGTGAATGATCCTTATAATGTTTTGTTGAATGCAATTTGTTAATATTTTGTTGATGATTTTTAGCATCTATGTACATCAGTTGAGATAATTTATGAAGAGAGACATCTTTAGAGTTAAATTATCGTTAAGACTGATGATGTGATGGGAAATTTGCATGGACCTGACTTTTTTTGGAAATTATGATAAACCAGTGGCCCATTTTCTTATATTGACGTACCTTATGCTGGATGAGCTTTCATTGAAATGATGTGTGTAAAAATACAAGTTCATAGGCAAATTTAAGGCAGCGATACATAAAGTCTTTAAAAACACTTTAGAGGAAGAAGTAAATAACAGGTATGAAGTCATTACTATTCATGTATTCATTTAATTCATGTTGGGGGTACCTATTGTGTGTCATGCACTCTTTTAGGTAATAGTGGTACAGCAACTCGAATGAATGAATGATAGATGAGTAAGCATTTTAAAATGCTGGTATGTCATATGGTGGTAAGTGGTATAAAGAGAAATAAAAGAGTGAAGGGAGATAGTTTCCCCACAACTGGAGTTGCAATTTAAATAACATTATCAGTCATGGCCTCACAGAAAAGATGTTAGCACTAAGAGGCAATGAGCCACGAGAATATCTGGGGAAAGAACCTTCCTGACAGGTGAGACAACTGCAGAGGCCCTTGTGGCTGACAGCAGAAGAAGCCATGGGGAGAGATGTAGGAACTGAAATAACAGGTAAAGACAAGGGAGTGTGACACACAGATCAGGTAGAAGCATGTAGGCCATTGTAAGGCCATTAGATTTTACTCTGCACAAGATGGCAATCTTTGAAAAGGTTTTAAAGGAAGTGTTGCATGATCTGACTTAATGTTCAAAGGCTCATCTGGCTGCTGAGTTAAGACTAGATTTTGTGGAGGAAGGAATGGAAACAGGAAGTATTAAGTTCTTACAGTAATCCACAGAAGACGTGATGGTGGTGTGGACAGGGTTGTGGAAGAAGTCCTAAGAAGTGATCAGATTCTGGGGATATTTTTGAAGGTAAAACCTTTAGATGTGGGATAAAGATAAATCAACGATGATCCCAAAGTTTTTGGGTGAACGGTAGGGTTGCTGTTTAATTAGGTGGCAGGTTTTGAGGGCAAGATCAGGATTTGGTTTTGGACATGCTAGGCTTGAGATGTCTAGTAGACATCAAAATGGAGATGTCAGGTGTGTGTGTATATGTGCACGTGTGTCCATAAGCATATGTATTATGTATATGTATGTAAATATAAGATGAGTTTAGGGGAGAGGTCTGAGCTGAATATACACGTTTGGGAGTCTTAGGTTTGTAAGATAATTTTTTTCTAGGTATATTTCTTTGAATTGAACTCTTAACTGAAGAAAGCATTAGGAATGACTGGTAAGTTCTTGTCATTAGTGTGTCAAGCCTTTGAAAAGTGTTTAAGAACAAAAGTGACTAGGAGGGGTGATAAGTCAGATTGGGAAGGAGCCATGAGGTGGGCTTCTTCAATTGGTAATGTTTTGTTTCTTGCACTTGGTACTAGTTACATGAGTGTGTTTGTTTTATGAAAATTCATCAAGTTGTATACTTATGATTTTTGTTCTTTTGTATATGTATTCTGTAATTAGGTGTGTGCTCCTGCATAATTTACTTAAAAATCCTATAATAAGGGCTATATAAAAAGCACGAAGTAGTGTATACTAAGTTTCCAGTAAAGAGTAGAAACCATAACTGCTGTTAGAACATGGAAGAGGGAATGATCAGTAGTGTCCATAAACTTTTCATTGAAAGCACTACTTACACAAGTAGAAACATAGGAGAGCTTTCTAGAGAAGATAAAACACAAAAATCTGTACTTTGTCTTTACTAGAGAAATAGGAGTGCTCAGGGGCCACTGTGGAGAAAAACTTGAAAGGAGGATTCATTTTTTAAAACAGGAAAATAAAGTCAATATGGATTATGTGTAGGTAAACCTTATTATCATATGAAGTTGACTTTTATTATGCATCAGTTATTCATACTCAAAAGTTTTGAAGTCAGGTTATCCCTTTTGTTTCTATTAGTAACTCCTAAGAAGAATGTTTCATTAGTATCCCCTTTACAATTACCTTAGATAAGGACTTTCTGCAGACTTTAAAGGATAACCAAATAATCTTCCTCATCTTTATATGAGATGAAGATAAAGATGAGATAAAGATGAATTATTTATATTTACTTAATAAAGTAAATATAAGATAAAGATGAGATAAAGATGAATTATTTATATTTACTTCAAAGCTAAAGGAGTCATCCTTAACCCTTGCTGATTCTCCCCCTTAAAAGCTGAAAGAGGGGTGCCTGGGTGGCTCAGTTGGTTAAGCGGCTGCCTTTGGCTCAGGTCATGATCCCAGGGTCCTGGGATCAAGCCCCATGTCGGGATCCCTGCTCAGTGGAGAGCCTGCTTCTCCCTCCCCCTCTGCTGCTCCCCCTGCTTGTGCTCTCTCTCTCTCTGTCAAATAAATAAAATCTTTAAAAAAAAAAAAAAAGCTGAAAGAGAGGTCTGTAAGGGAGAAAAATCAAATAATGATGATCTAGTCCCTAAACAATGAGTCTTCTCTACAGCATCCAGTAAGACTAGGTGAGCCACAAATGTGAGTCATATTTGTAATTTAAAATTTTCTAGTAGCCATGTTTAAAAAAGTGAAAAGAAGCAGATGAAATTATATTTAATAATATATTTTATTTAATCCAAAGCCATTTTAATGAAGTATTTTTACATCTTTTTTTTTCGTTCTCAGTCTTTTAAATCTGGTGTGTATTTACAGTCACAGCACATGTCAGTTAGGACTTGTCACATTTCAAGTTTTCAGTAGCCGCTTGTGGCTAAAGGGCAGCTCCAGAGCTGCAACTGAAAGTTACTGCACAGCTGACTTCAAAAAAAATGTTACTCATTTATAAGAGTTTCACTTGTTCAGCAAATGGTTATTAAGTACTTCCTATGTGTCTTGTATTTAGTTTAGCCCAAAATACTGTACCGGAACTACCAGAAGATATTTCACTGAGATTCTGTCATAAATAATACTTCCTCATAATAAATTCTAAAATTATACTTATGAAAAGCAGAATCTAGTTTTCTTATTATATACTTTTTAAAATACTGACTTGCTTCAACCAAGTTTTTTTTATTTAAAGCCTAGATAATTGTGCATATTTATAGAAGTGTAAACTTTTATCTAATATGGATATTTTTTAGCTGCATTTCAGCCTTGAAGATTAAAACAACATTAAATTTATTTGAAAACTTGGTGTGATAGTTATTGAATTTATAAATTAAATTAATCAATTTAGGTAAATAAAGGACAAGAGTGGCTATTTTTCACAATTTTTCAAGTGTGATTGAGCCTTTCATCAATTTTGAATATTTTAGCATAAAATGTATTTTGGAACTAATGAGTTTTTTTTTATTAGTGTGTGCCAAACATTTTGTCTCAAATTTGTCATAGTCATGTTTCTTAAGAAGCAAATCTTGCCACGTGCTTGGGTGGCTCATTCGTTAAGCGTCTGCCTTCAGCTCAGGTCATGATCCCAGGGTCCTGGGATCAAGCCCCGCATTGGGCTCCCTGCTCAGCAGGAAGCCTGCTTCTCCCTCTCCCACTCCTCCTGCTTGTGTTCCCTCTCTTGTTGTGTCTCTCTCTGTCAAATAAATAAAATCTTTTAAAAAAGAAAAGAAAAAGGAGCAAATCTTGCTTTTGGTGCCTACATTGATTATTTGTACATTTGATGTTCCAAATGATTTTTTTTTTTTAAGATTTTTATTTATTTTTTGACGGAGAGCAGGAGAGGGAACACAAGCAGGGGGAGTGGGAGAGGGAGAAGCAGGCTTCCCTGCTGAGCAAGGAGCCCGATGTGGGGCTCGATCCCAGGACCCTGGGATCATGACCTGAGCTGAAGGCAGACGGTAAACGACTGAGCCACCCAGGTGCCCCAAATGATTTCTGATATTTTTTATATACTAATTGTTATGACCTGGGTTGTCAAGTAAAAGTTTTTAAAATACTTGGTTTGGTTTGAAATTTTAGATATCTTTATATACATTTTTTTCACCTCTCTCTCTCTCTCTCTTTCTGCATAGGTATATAAAATACTAGTAAAGAAAACCCCAGAAGAAAGTTGGGTAGTTTTCAGAAGATACACTGACTTCTCTAGACTTAATGATAAAGTAAGTACTTTAATAAATCTAAAACGGACTTTTCAGTTTCAAATTATTATCTGTTCCTGACAGTTCTACTGTTAAATATTTGTGGGTTCTCCTTGTTAGTTATCTGAGTGAAGTCATATTTTGCTACTTCCTAAGAAAATTAACTATTTTATTTCATTTTAATAGCCTAAAGACCCATCTTTACACATAACTTCCTTTTTTTAGAAACAAAAAATTATTTTTAGTATAAAAGTATGAAAATCTTAAAACTGCTAACAGAAATATAAATGATTATATAGGGGTGCCTGGGTGGCTCAGTCATTAAGCGTCTGCCTTTGGCTCAGGTCATGATCCCAGGGTCCTGGGATCGAGCCCAGCATTGGGCTCCCTGCTCCGCGGGAAGCCTGCTTCTCCCTCTCCCACTCCCCTTGCTTGCTTGTGTTCCTGCTCTCGCTATCTCTGTCTCTGTCAAATAAATAAATAAAATCTTTAAAAATAAATAAATAAATAAAATGATTATATAAGCTTGTGAATTTGATAAAGATGTATATAAGATTCCCCTAAATCCTATGACTATAAGGGAATGAATATTTGTAACATGTGTATTAGTTTTCTATTGCTGTTAACAAATTACCACAAACTTTGTGACCTAAAACATAACTGTTTATTATCTAGTGATTTAGGTGGGCTCAGCTGGGTTTGCCACTTAGGGTTAGATAAAGTCAAAGTCAAGCTGTTGGCTAGACTGGGCTCTTCTCTGGAGGCTCAGAGAAAGTATCAGCTTTTGGGTTCATTCAGGTTGTTGGCAGAGTTCAGTTTCTTGTAGTTGTAAGACCAGGATCCCCATTTCCTTGCTGGTTGTCAGCCAGAGGTTGTTCTTAGTTCATAGAGTGCTGTCCAGTCTTTGCACATGGCCCCTGCACCTTCAAAGTCAGCAGTAGCAGGTCAAGTCCTTTTTGTGCTTTGAATCTCTCTGACTTTCTCTTCTGCCACCAGCCAGGGGGAAAGCTAGACTTTTAAAGGGCTCATGATAAGATCAGGCTCACCAAGATAATCTCTCTATCTTAAGGCCAATTGAAAAGTAACCCTAATTACGTCTGCGTAATCTCTTTTAATGTGTGACATAACAAAATCACAGAAGCAACACCAGGGACAAAGATCATAGGGCCATCTGGAATTCTGCTTACTGCACATATGAAACAAAGAAAATAATAAAAACCTCAATATATTAAAAACTCTTAAAAGTAAATTAGAGTAAACCCAAAAGTAGAAAATACTACAAATGATGTGAACAAGGCAAACCACAGAAGAAATATAAGTGACCAATAAATTTGGAAAACATTTGATATCACAAGGACTCAAAGGAAAATTAAGAAACTGTTTTTCATCCATCAAGTTAACAGACATTTAAGTGGTATTATCCATTGTTGGAAATATGAATCTTCCTAGGGGACACAACTTCCTAAAGTTGTACATAATTTTGATACAATAATCACATTTCTGGGATTTATCCAATATAAGAAATCATGGATATGGACAATATTTAGCTCTAAGGATACTTTTCACTGTGTTTTATTCATTGTTATTTTCTTTGTGTTTTAATTTGTTTTTAATAGTTAAAAATTAGAACCAACCTAAATTTGGGGAATTGATAGGGAATTGAGTAAATTGCAGTACAAATGTAATAAAGAAAGAGGTGAGATGTCCACAGAGCTAGAGGGAAATCAATTGAGGCAGGTGAGGGTGGTAGTATTTTAGAAACCAGGAGCATTTCTCCAAAGGAAGCAAGTGGTTTATGATGTTTCTAAGAGGCTAAGTAACCTTGGATTTTGTCTTTGGATCAGAAATCACTCCCTAATTTTGACAGGTGTTTAGTAGAGGAAACTTGACTGGTCCTGTTTTCTCCCATCTGCCACCTTCACTCTCAAAACTTATAAAGTTAGTATATCCTTATCATTTTTGGTGGTAGGAAACCCATTTATGTGATTTTGCAGTTACCTGGCTGCCAAAAAGTTTCTGCCATTCTAAAAACCTCAATCTGAATGAAAGGTAAAATATAAAATGCTAAACTATTTTATCCTTTATTTAGGTATTATCAAGATGACTTTTTGTAATATGCCAAAATAAAGTATTATTTGTAATATATTTCCATCATTAAATATGAATTTTATTTAAGGTTCCTGAGTTCTTATTATTACACTGATGAATTAAAAACCTATAATTCTGTACTCATAATTAAATAATATTAATAATAATTAAGAAGATCAAAGTAATTCATGAAGTTACCAGATACTTAAGTGGAATTCTTAACTTGCTTATGAAATTTTTATAATTTTTGTTCATGAAGACTAATTTCTAACAGTTTCAATTTAGAGCTATTTAATCCTTTATGACTTGCTACTTTTCTTTTGAGGGTTCAATTATTACTTAATGTTTACTTCTCTTTACCTCTCTGGATTCATCTTTATATTGCTATAATAGTTCTTATCTTAGGCAAGTTGAGATTTAAATAACTCTTAAGCTTTTAAAGAAGGATGTTAGTAGGACTTTAAGTTAGTAAATATCTCCTACATATTCCAAGTTGGGCACTTAAAATTAATAAGTATCTATGTCAGTGTTCTAGGTACCAGAACGAGCTCTATCCATCACCAGCTTTTACTTGCAAGAATCAAAAAAATGTGTGTAAAAGACCACAGTCTGGGGGAAAATATTTGTCATACTTATTACATCTGACAGAGGACCTGTATCCAGAATATATAAAGAACTCTTGCAACTTAATAATAAAAAGATAAATAACCCAATTTTTTTAAATGGAGGGGTTAGAAGAGTTGAATAGATAATTCACCAAAGATATGCAAATCTAAAAAAGCCCATAAGAAAATAGTTAACATCATTTGTCAACAGAGAAATGCATATTAAAGCCACAGTAAAATACTACTACATACCCACCAGAATGGCTAACATTACAAGGATGGACAATGCCAAGTGTTGGCAAGGATATGGAGCAACTGTAACGCCTGTGTATATACAACTGGTAGAAATCAATAAGTAAACTATTGAGATATAAAAAGTTTAGCTGAGGGGCGCCTGAGTGGCTCAGTTGTTAAGCATCTGCCTTTGGCTCAGGTCATGATCCCAGGGTCCTGGGATTGAGCCCCGCATCGGGCTCCCATGCTCTGCGGGGAGCCTACTTCTCCCTCTCCCACTCCCCCTGCTTGTGTTCCCTCTCTTGCTGTGTCTGTCTCTGTCAAATAAATAAAATCTTTAAAAAAAAAAAGTTTAGCTGAATTTCATTATTTTATTTTAAGTTTATTTCATGAACAAGTTCATGTAGTTAACAGGATAGATTTTATAGAATTGATATGTTGAGTTGAACATTGTATTTTCTTTTTTCTTCTTTTTCAGTTAAAAGAGATGTTTCCAGGCTTTCGATTAGCACTTCCACCAAAACGCTGGTTCAAAGATAATTACAATGCTGACTTTTTAGAAGATAGGCAACTAGGATTACAAGCATTTCTTCAAAATTTAGTGGCTCACAAAGACATTGCTAACTGGTATGTAACAAACTGAAACAACTTGTTTAGACTAAAGAACAAATATAGGACCATAGTTATTCAAGCACAAAAATACAAAGTAGGAATATAATTACTTGTCCTCTCTAATATGGTACTACTTGGAATTTTCTTGCTTTTTATCAATAAGAATTTTATTTGGCATTTGATTTGTATTAACCCTTTTAAAAAGTCAGCAAAGTTAAAAATTTTTCAATGTAAAAAAAAATTTAGGGGCGCCTGGATGGCTCAGTTGGTTAAGTGTCTGTCTGCCTTTGGCTCAGGTCATGATCTCCCAATCTTGGGATCAAGCCCCATGTAGGCTCCCTGCTCAGTGGGGAGTCTGCTTGTCCCTCTCCCTCTACCCCTCCCCACCCCCTGCTTGTGTGTGTGCTCTCTCTGTCTCATATAAATAAAGTCTTTAAAAAAATTTTTAAGTTAAAAATTCAGTGTACCATATACTAAAACCACCCAACAGTAAACTTGATTTTAGTATTTAGTATTTTAGCAATCATTTAAACAAAGTGGCCCACATATTAGATTTTTGGTTAATATAACATTATATAATTGTGAAGGTAGTATTCTTATATTTCTCCAAAGTAATGCAAAAATATGAAGATTGTGAAGTTGGGTTAATGTATATAGAGGGTAAAGTGTGAAAATAAAAACCATTAAAGAGAGAGAAAAAGGATCTATACAGTTTTTTGCTTCTGAAAATATTTATAAGAAAATTGCTTTATGATTTAATATCAGCTAAGTGTCTGATTTTGGACTTTACATTATCAGATAAATTCTAACTCTTTTGATAGTTACAAGGCAGCATTTACAAGGCAGCAATAGCATATTGTTTAACTACCTATATCTATAACTGTCTTTAGCAGTTTTTCACATAAGGATGGAAAAAATTAAGGCAACCATCCTGTCTCACTTTTTCTCCCCTTTTTTCTCAATCTTTTTATTTTGATATATATCACCTTGTGTTATACATAACACAAATGCCATGCATATACATCTTGTTTCCTAATGTGTGCTGCCCAAGCTTGATGGCTACTGCTTGAGATCTCTGCCAGTCCCCCTCGTTTTCCTCTATGAAAGGAACTACAGGTTAGACCCCTTCTCTCAACTCCAGATTCATATCTGCATTTGCCTCCTTGACATCTCCTTCAGGTATCTCAAAGTGACATCAAACCCAGGTAAAAGCTTACTCTCCAGACTTTTCCCAATGTTCAGCAGCAGCATTTACCCAGAACCTGGGAGTCATCCTTGACACAACCCTCTCTACCCTCATCCCTTCCTTTATATTTTAAATTCCACTCAAATCTACTTTTCTCCACTCCTGCCATCACCACCCTAGTCTAAGCCATTATCTCTTACCTGAATCACTGCAGAAGGTTTCCTCTGGTCTTCCTCATCTGCTCTTATTTCTGTAGCCCATTGGAGCCACAGTGATCTTTTTTAATGCAGCTGAAGTCATTTTTTCTGGTCCCTGCCTACCTGCCTGTCTTTCCAACTTCATGTTTTATTATTCCTCCCTGACCTTGTTCTTTGTACTTAGCTGTATTGGTCTTTTAATTCTCCAAAATTACCTTGTTCCTTTGTCCCTTAGGGCCTTCAAAGGAAAGACAATGTTTGTTCCCTGGAAAGACAATGTTTCACACTACTACCCCACCCAGCCCTGGCCTAGATAATACCTATATATCCTTCATATTTCAGTTAAAGACTTCACTTCCTTGGGCTTTTCTAACCATCCCCTCACTTACCACCATCACCACCAAAGTTTAGTTCTTTCTTATAGAATCTGTACCAGTCCTCAACTGGTTCTGAGAGACAAATCCTAGTGCCTTAAGTGAGACACCCATTGTATGTATGAATTAACTTCTCACCTGTACTTCCAGGATGGTACTAGCTATGTGCCAGTCTTAAGGGAATTGAGAAAATAGTGCCTCAAATCATTGTCCTTAGCATCTGATTCTCTCATGGAATCCCAGCTGAGAAAGGCTGGTTGGTACTTTAATCTCAGCATTTCAGTTTGTAAGTATTTCTCTGATTATTTGATTGTGTTTCTCCTACCGAGTTGTAAAGTGCATATGTAATTGTAGGTCATTTGGCTGTTTTGCTCATGATTCAATGTGCAGCACTTAACACAGTGCTAATACAAAGTCTGTGCTCACTAAGAGTACCTGTTAAACAAATGGCTGGATATTTGCTATTGTATTATTTATAAGAAACAAGTTTGAAGGAAATATGACAAAATATTAGTGATTGTGTGTTCTAGGTGGGGGAACATGGGTGCTCCCTACTTTTCAAAATTTTTACATCTCAAAAGAAAAAAAGGGCTAGTGTTAATTCAGACACACAAAGCAGGAATAAAAACCAACAAACTCTAAAATCATAGCAAGAGCCTTTTGAAGAACATATATCTTAGACCATACCAAAAGAAGACTTTTACAGCTAAAAAGTCAACATACATATCTTATCCCCTTTATCTTCTCTTTTATTCAGTAAACCTTTATGTCTTAGTATTAAAAATATTGTGGTGAGGGGCGCCTGGGTGGCTCAGTTGGTTGAGCAACTGCCTTCAGCTCAGGTCATGATCCTGGAGTCCCGGGATCAGTCCCACATCAGGCTCCCTGCTCAGCAGGGAGTCTGCTTCTCCCTCTGACCCTCCCCGCTTTCATGTGCTCTCTCTCTCCTCTCATCCTCTCTCTCAAATAAATAAATAAAATCTTTAAAAAAAAAAAATATTGTGGTGACTTAAAATCAAATTTATTCTATAAATTACTATACTCTATTTTTATATAGTGAAATATTAAATAATATAAACCACATTAATAAACTGATTTTGTGATATCTTGATTTTTTAAATAGTGAAAGCATATCTTAGTTTTGTCTCATTTTTTAAAAAATTATGGGTAGTAGATCTCTGTCTCTAAGGTAGGCATACAAGGTACTTTTGAGATCCTGTTACTAAAACTGTACACTTTTTTTTAAAGATTTATTTATTTATTTGAGGCTGGAAGGAGCAGAGGGAGAGAATCTTCAAACATACTCCCTTGCTGAGTGCGGAGCCGGACGTGGGGCTTGATCTCACCACCCATGAGATCATGACCTGAGCCAAAACCAGGAATGGGACACTCAGCTAGCTGAGTCACCCAGGCACCCCTAAGACTGTATACTTTAAGAACAGTGGTAGTGGTCTTGCTCAACTCATAAATAGGTGTTTCAGAGAAACATTTTCTTGGCCAAATAAATTGGAAAAGGTTTCATTTGACATTCCTAGAATATTGAAAGTTCTAAGAAGTCTTACATGAAAGAATGTAGTACGCCTCACATTTGCCTACTTGCCTTTGTCATGTTGCATCATCAAACATTTAGGGATTACTGTCAGATAAATTGAACTCAAGATGAAGTATTTATGCCTTGTTTATTCTAGAGTAACCATTATCTTTTTTGTGGGTTATGGGTACCATTATTTATTTCACAGTTTAAAAAGCTTCTTAATAAGCTTCTGTTTAAAGCTTGAGTAAAGGGAGGGGAAGAAGAGTTATTTATCTGTATCTTAAGCATTTGCTCTGTGTCGACCCAAGAAGGATATGAAAGAAACTGAGGGTGTACTCATTGGTCTTAAAATTCATTTGAAGAAATTAGGCTTCTGTATGAACAAAATAAGGGAGTTTAGGAAAGGCTACTTTGTATGATACAGGTTATAAAAGTAGCAGGAACTCAGAGAAGGGGAAGATTGGTCCTTTGTTCAGTGATCAAGCAATACTGGAAGTAGGAAGTAGGATTTGAGAACATTGAAGGCTAAATTAAAATTATGGGTAGGAAGATAAATATGAGCCATAAACAAATAACTAGAAGATATCTAGGAAGTGTAGGATTGCCAAAAGGCATTTATGAATTTCCCCTAAGGGAGAAAAGAGAAAATCTCAACACATCTGTATGAAAACCTAAAACAACATTTAAGAATCAGTATTTAGGGGTGCCTGGGTGGCTCATTTGGTTAAGTGTCCAACTCTTGGTTTTAGCTCAGGGTTGTGAGATCACGCCCCGCTCTGTGGGCTCCATGCTCAGCATGGAGTATGCTTGAGACTCTCTCTCACCCTCTCCCTCTGCCCCTCCTCGCCACGCTCACGCTCACACTCGCGCGCATGCTCTCTCTCTCTCTCTCAAATAAATAAATAAATCTTAAGGAAAAAAGAGAATCACTACTTAAAACATCAATTAGTTGTAAATTACCTATTGGTATACCTATTAGCATCCTTTTAGAGTTGTAATGGCAGCATAGAAAAATTACTATCTTACATGGCCAAGTAATTATTTGATATTAATTCTTTATAGATTTATAATTGTAGTCCTTTCACTTTCCTTTTTTTATATCCTTAACGCTTCACAACACAGTTACTTCTTAACGTTCATGTTGGCTAAGAGCTTGCCATTACACAACTGGCAGCTCTTAATATTATAACCTCTCTAACTGTAACAAAGCAGAAGTAGAAGAAATAAGAACTGAAAGGATACTAAGGATTGTTGGTCTGAAAGTTTTAAGATAATATTATTTTCAGATGCATTTAGAAAATACAAAGTAAGAAAACAGATTAAAAACTTAATATTTTTAAGATTTCAATAAATCAAAGGATTTATTATTAATTTTGTCTGTTCCATAAATATTTATTTAGGTCTCACTCTATATAAGGTAGTGTAGTACACAAAGGTGCATTAGATACTGATCCTTTATTCAAGAAAATTGAATAGGAGGAATAGTCACCGCAAAAAAACTATCATTAGTAGAGTTAGATCTCTTTCAGAGGGGGAAGAGAGAGAGAACTATTGACTGGGAGAATTAGAGGAGGCTTCCTAGAGGGTGACATTTGAGCTGGATTTTAAAGAATTAATGATATTTGGACCAACAAGGAGAAGGTGAATAAGGACCTTACAAATGAGAGGGAGTATGTTATCAAAATGCAGAAGCAAGAAGACACAGGTCCTGTGCCAGCAGCATG